ATGTATCAATCCAGGTGCAATTTGGACAAAGTCGGGTTGGTGGTCTAATCTGGCCCCACCCCCCCTTTCAGCTTTGGGCGATTTTTATCTCATGAGTTGGTGGTTTGTGCAACGACGTTTTATTTCATCAACATCCAACTTACTCTCATTTTGCCTTTTTTTTTTTCGTCTCTCTTACTTCATGGTGTCTTTGGAACGACATGTCAACTCGCTCTTTGCTCCGCAAGTGCCATCTAAAGAATCCCTCTGGTGCCAGAGATGTCGAGTGCTGTCATTGCAGCAATCGTTGCCTCCCTCCTTCCTCGAGCAAATTTGGCGCTCTATGCGCCGCGTGGGTGCAGCGCGCTTCACGGTAGCGGATATGCGTATCAACTGGGCGTCCACGCCGCGTCAGAGCGAATGCGTCCGCTCGTGCAAAAAAGTGACACCCTCACTGATGACACACACGAAACATGCGGAAAGCATAAACATATAAAGAAAGATCTGGTTGTTCGTTGAATTTTTCAATGTTTACATTGCTTAACTCATGAATAAATCAGAAGCCTGGTTCTGAAACCGATGTGATCCTAGGCCATGTTGCTAGATTTTCAGCAAACTGAATAAAAAGCCAAACAGCAAAGAGAATCGGGAGAAAGCAAGGAAAAACAGGTCAAAATCAGCGGCAGGAAACGGAGGAGGGGGACATGAAAGGAGGGACAGAAGAGGGCTCGGGGGCGAAAAGCATCGAGGAGAAGCACGCAGAAGCCAAACCTGAACGTGGCTTCACTTCAGGCCCGATATTCAACCCTCCGTCCATCTCTGATCGGGCTTGCTTTCTCACCACACTTTTCATTTTTGTCTGACATACACACTCAATATATCAGACGGCTAATAACATGCAAATCAAGGCAAAGAGACGCAAGCGGCGTCGGGATGTTGGGACAAAGTTCCTCTGGATATATGCCTTGGGAGTAATTATTATCTACATTTGCCGGTCAAACTTTGGCTCCTCTCCCCCACTGCCTTTAATTGGGATGAGTGCAAATCTAGAGAGGACTGACTACTAATTGCGAAATGGATGGAAGGAGGGAGAGTCAGATCCAATGTTCCCTGTAATTTTGAGCAACATCGGAAATGCACACGGCGGCCAAAACAGTGTCACAATAAAATTGGCCTGAGTTGGTTTCTTTTATTTTAGCACATAGGCTATGTTAAGCGCCATTAATTAAGCCAGTCTCGATAAGTACGGTCGGTCATAAATAATGTGTGGTGTCCTGTTTGTCGATTGAAGTGGGGTAATGAAGGCGTTGAGCGTCGAAACGTGGTGTGACTGTGGTGCGCGCCGGCCGGCTATTGTGAAAATGAAGAAACGGACAATGTTTTGCCTTTTACAGTTCTGATGTCATAGAAAA